CACCAATTGCAGGATTCTTCGTCTTTAGTACAATATTAATTTTTATATTATTTTTACCGATGCTGCTTACCTACATAAACGTTTGTTAAAGATTTCGCATTAGAAACCTATTGAATAAATGATTACAAAAGTTATTTATATTATCTAGGTATCAACCGCAAATCCATTATATTTATTTTTATAATCGGTATTTAGGTTTTAAACGAATTTATATGACAACAACGATGAACACTATATTATTATACTTCCTATAGGTTATTAATATTTTAAGAAGATTATAAGTTTTTGTGCGTTTGAATCTCTTACAATTATTCAACACTGTTGAAGCGTTCAAGGTTGACCTTCAGGTGCCTCTATTAATTTACTTCACGAGTAGGAATACCTATCATCCTAGGCGATGATCAAATTTTGTGTAGCCTGGCTCGCAATAAACAGTAAAACGTGTTTAAAATTTAAAAAAATAAAAATGGTATCGTTGGATCTCTTAACTTTTATCGTTTTTTTTCAGAAATTTATGAATATAAACATTCATATCGTTGTAATTATATATATTATTATATTGTGCTGCCAACTACAGACGTCGAACCTAGACCAGGGCCACTTAATCGCCACGCTCTTCGGACAGTTACATTTAAATCGAGAAGGTCCTTCGATTTGTTAATAGACCATCCTAACACACAGGGTAGATTTGTAGTGAATATAGTCAGTGATGTAGCCTTCAATAATATAAATTAATATATTTGTATAATATATTACATGTATATATTATACTAGTTTATAATAGTATCATTGAGTAAGTACTTATATAATATGTTCTCTGTTATATAGATTTCATTAGTACATAATAATATAGTCGTTTGCCGCTTACAGTACAAAAAAATATTATGTTCACACAAAAATCCAGTGGCAGATCTAGAATTTTTTTTTTTTGGGGGAGGAGGCATTGTTTTATTCAAAGTTTTACGACACAAATATTTAATTACGGCTCAATTTACTAACCTTGATGCTGAGCCAATAGGAAGGCAGGGCCCTTTTTACCCCCCTTAAATCCACCACCACTAGAAGCGACTTCTATGTCTGGCTGATCTGTCAAACAAATGATCCAGGTCTATGTATGGTTATAGTCTAAATCAGCAAAGTGATATATTGCGACGATGATATCTCGGGTGACACACTGACCCTGGGGCAGTGGGGCAGCTACTTGCAAATAAAAAGATAAAAGGGGAACCCTGTATTTAATTTTTGCCTGTTGGTGTCTACTTTTTAATTTTTAATACCTATTAGAAATGCTAATGATAACAAGTTTTTTGTGGCGACTTAAAATCAAAACGTTTCCAAAATTCTTTACATATATTATTATTATTATTATTATTATTTGCAGCGTTGAAAAACGCATCAAATAAAATAAAAAATATATTATTTCATTCGTTAACATAATATCTAAAATTATGTTGATGTGCAATTATTATTTTCAGTATCAAAACTCGTTTAAGACATTTGTATGCAAATTAACTGGGTAGAAATGACGTTTAGGTATAATGATGTGTTTCTGCAGTAATATGAAAAAAAAATGCATTTTTAAAAATATTTCTAAAATCTTCTATCTGAGCAAAGTAAATTTAATGTATTTTAATCAGATTAGCTAGTCCACAGTGAAAATAGCATCATCTCTGAAAAACATTTTTTGGATCAAGTTTCATTGGTTGACATTAATTTAATCCGGTATTATATACGCTCGTGGCTCTCAAGAATGAAGCAATTAAAACTAGTCGGATGTCAGTTGAAAAATCGTCTCAATAGTTATCTATTATACCCATGTAAGTTACTACTACATTCTATTAGTAGTGAAATACTTTTCCCCGTCGTCGGTAATTCGATTTTAATTAACTTAATGATGGAATTTCATTTATCCGATATACGTGCAGGATGTATGAAGACACGGAAAAACCAATAAATCAAAAGCAAATGTGCAGGATGACTGATGTATTAATGTATATATTATACTATATAGTGATATATATTATATAGGGCATATTATTATATGCACAGTATATAAATATATTATATTATAGACAGGTCACAGACAAACGCAGAAGAATGCAATTTGAAAATTTCAATTTTGAAATAAGAAATTTCTAATTTATTGTTGTTTGCGGCATAAAAACATTAGCACCTTTCCTGAAGAATAAAATCAATATTTGATTTATCACCAACTGTTGCAATCCTTTTTGTTATTATTATTATAATCGTTTTAGACCTTTGTTTCTAACCTATAACCTTTTAGAATATTGAAAATATTTTCATTTTATGTCTAATACATAGTATAATACTGTTATAAATTTGTATATTATAAAGAAAATAATCAAAAAATGTAGCTAAAAAGTATATCAAACTACTGATTTTCTGATATTATCAATAGAATTATTTATTGTTTATCATAAAATACGACCTACATAAATTATTTACAAAATAGTGAAAATACTTGTACAAAAATGATATATTTTGGAGAATATTATCCTTACAATATAATATTGTTCTGTTTAATATAATATTCCATAATCGATGGTATAAAAATTAATGTGCAGTATTCATATTTCTACGATAATTATTGATTTTTTTTTTATATTATATATATAACATTCTAAATCAAAAAAGATGGATAGTATACCTCGTCATTGAGTCGGCACTATAGTAGTATATTGGATGTGTTAATTTTATATTCAATGATAAATATTTTTAGTAGATGAAAAAACGATTCTAATCAAAAATGGTGCTATTTTTTTTTTTACCCAGGTTACTAAACAATTATTTTAATAATATTATGAACATTTCAATAAATTTGATGATCAGAAAATATCTACTAGTAGAAAGAATCTGACTGGATACACAAAAAATAACACATCATTATAGCTTCCCTCAGATCTAAAAATATGTAGGTAATACTCTTATTATATGAGATTACACAAACTAAATTATGTTTAGTTTTCAATTTTTAAAAATCAAAATCATTACCAGCTGGAATTAAATAAGTTTTTGATTGAAATGATAACGTATAATATAGACGACACGCTGAGATGAGATTATAAATAGCAGGGCAAGAAGATTATACCTATACCTACCTAGATTTGGTTTCTAACAGCGACTATACTAGATAATAGTTCACCGCGCAGATTAGTCATAGTAGATAACTGATGTGGGATTTATAATTTTAGACGATAGTCGTAAATCAAATGGTCTAATACAAACAATGAAGTTTGTTCATATTATATTATATTTATTTATGTTCAATCTATTTGTATTGGAAATATAATAATAATTTATTATGGTCTATGAGTTGACATAATATTATTAATCGCCCTACAATCCAATTATCCGTGGTGAGTATTGGCAAAATCATGAGAGCACAGGCTCCACCCAAAAATCTTTCCAAGTTCCATTTAAAACGAAATCAAACATAATTTTAATATTCCATTAAATGCAAGTTGTCCAAAATATAATAGTGTAATATGGTGTCAATATAGGATCGGTTTGTAAATTATATTTTTATATCCAGTGTTGGATATTAACGTACTTAGGTAACGAAACTAACATTACTTTGTCTGCAACACGTTATGATGACTTTTAATTTTCAATAATTTTAACTGCTGTGAGAAAAACTTATGAAAACCATGTGTTGAATTGTCGAGCCTTTTAGCCAAGAAACAAAATAGTTATTAAAATTTTAAATCTTTAAATAGATAAAAAAATAAACAGTATTTTTTGAAAATATTATTTGCCTATAAAATTGTAATATAAATATTTTGTGGAAATTGACAAGTTGAAAGTTTCCACACTTTTAAGCTCCTTTTAAAATAAAAAATGCACTCATTGATTTTGTATAATATATCATAAGTCTTAAACTAATAATTCAGGCCTTTAGTTCACGTGCGAATTGTAACTGCAGTTTATTTATTTATTTATTAAAATAGACGTCATGCGGCTTTGAGAACAGTATTAACAATACAAAATTAACAGATCTTACGATAATGTATAAATTAATAATTTAACTTAAATAATAAATTGTAGATTATTAGTATTACGAATGTTGGCAAACAGTCATTTTCAGTAATGACTATGTAGGAGGTAGTAATTATTGACAACAGCTAATTCGGTTAGTCAATATAGACAGATCGTCTGGATGATAAGTATATAATGATTCAAATTGACAAATATTAATTAATTTTTAATGTTGGCTATAAGTTGTACCTAACTAATATTTTGTTTATTTATTAGAATATTAAGTACTTACTTAAATTACCGTAAAATACTTAATTCGACAAAATCACGTACCTATATTATGTTATTATAACTTATACTTATTATTTTAAAAATATATTTATTTATATAAGGCAAATTGCTAGGCCCTTTAATACGTAAGCGTTCACACCCAGTGTCGAGACTTATCTATACAGAAAACTGCTCATCTATTATTTTATCTAGATAACTATTATGACGTCTGTCTATTGGTTATCTTAGATAACACATTTATTTATCTAGATAAATATCATTTAAATCATATCCATTTTTCATGAATAATATTATTTATTTTTTTTTTTTTTCTGTAATTTTTCCATCTGGGGGGTGATTCTTGAAAACGTGATTAATTTATCGCACGTGAGATAAGTCATACATTTTATCGACAGTGACAAATTTTTATCGCATGCGATGTATAATTGGTATTCTTGAACTGAAATCGATAAGATTTTATCATTTGTCGAATGCGACAAAGTAATCTAATGAACCACTGTGGTAACATCAAATCTAATCAATTTTAACCTCAAATAACTGATAATTAATAATTTGCCGGTAATAAAGCATAGAGTAATTACTCTATGTGATAAAGTTATTAAAAACATTTAAAAAATACTGAGAAGTGAAAAGTTCTAACTTCTAACTACCTATAATAGGTACTACGGTCTACAATTGTTAATAATATAATAATTATTAATATATTACACACAATGGCAAAATCGAGGCCTACAAAACATCAGATGAAAACGCTCGTTGAATTGATGTCTAATGACCCAAAATTGAGTGCTGGAAAATTTTCAGCAAATTTCACAAAAAAAATTGCTAAGGCAAGATGGGAGGACATTGCCATCGAATTAAACTCTCTACCTGGCTGCGAAAAATCAGGGGATAAATGGAAAAAGGTATTTAAAATGTGTATTTAAAATAATGGAAATTATAGATTAAACTGTTTATTATTTTTGAGGCATGGCAAGACACTAGGGCAACTGCAAAAAATAAGGCTTCAGCAATCAAAAGACATATTAATGGTACTGGAGGAGGACCTGCCACTAATTTGGTAATGTCAGAGGCTCAAATGGATAGTATTCCATTAATGAGCCAAGTGGCTATAAGTGGTCATTTGAATTCAGTGGAGTCCGCTGTATCATTTAACTATGAAACACTTTCAGAACAAACAACATGTACGAACATCTATAATAAAGATGCAGAAACAACAGAAGGTACAGCTAAAATATTATTTTGTTATACTAAAATAAACCAAAAATGAATTCTAGATGATTTTGGTAAAACACTGTATTTAATATTGAATTCAATATTAAAAAATTACCTTCAGCTACATATTTTGTTATATTTTTATTATATAGTTGTATTGTGATTTATGATATAGATCCCCAATTTGAAGATTTGCAACTGGACATAAGTCATTTTGATGTAGTTATTGAGAACAATCAAAATTATGGTAAGTCTATTATAACAGTTATTATTAGTTTGTATTATTTACCAATTTGTGTTATATAGTACCCAATGATGTTGATGATTTATCACCCAAGCTTGTAGAAACTGGACAAGAATTGCAGTTAAAAAGTGTACCTAAATCAAGTAATAATTTCAACATTTTTTATACTTAGCTCTTGAATTATTATCAAACATTATTTAACTAATAATAATAATATAGGTATATTTCTTGTAAAATTTCCAATGTATATTGATAAATGATAATACAACTTAATATTAATTAGAATAAATAGATGCAAACTCCCCTATTAGTGGGTATAATGCTTGTGATGGGGATGAAAAGTGTAAGTTCATTACAATCAAAGTTTTATAAAATGCATAATATATTTAAATTAATTTAGAAAGTATACAATATAAAATGAATAACAAAAAAAAATTATTCAAATTTAATTATTTAAAAAAAATCTGCAATAGGTGAATCCTTGAAAAATGTAGTTATTGAAATAAACTAAGTAAAGTATTACTAAAATATACATATATACTCATATATGGGCAGCACAGCAAGTGTAAGATATGCAAGATTATAATATTGCTATAATACATAGGTTTTAGTAGTTAAAATTGAATTAACCTATTTAAGGTTATTTAGAATTTAAATATGGCTTACTTATTCTAAAATTATACAGTTTGAGATGTTATGCAGATACCATTACAGTTTGACAAGTGAAAACATATTTTGTGGCATATGTTAATAATATTTGAGTAGTTCTTAAAATAAATATATTTTGACTTATTAATATTTAACTGTGATAGATTATTTATAGATTATTGTCGAACCAGTCTTTTACTTTTTTATATAATAAAATTAGCGTTTTTGTACGAAATATCTATATTTTTTATTACAATATAATTATTTTCTATTGTCTATTGTTGATCTATTATATTTGTTATATCTTATTCCCAGTAAGAAATTTTAGAAACATTTCTGTATTTTTAACATTTATTATTAATAATTTGTTTTTAGAGGGTATAAACTCCGAACAACCTATGAAAAAACAATCTGCATCTGAAAGATTATCAGACAGCAACAAAGTTGCCCAGAATATGGTTGACCTTACATCTAAAAAATTAAATATTAAATCTAATTATTATGATCAAAAGTTGATTCTTTTACAACAAAAAAATAATATCCTCAGCAACATTCATACACTTTTGGAAACATACATTCAAAATAAAATGTAAATATATATTATAATATAATATAGTATTATGTTGAACAGTACTTAATTATAATTAATACAAAATGTTTGTAAAAATATATACCGTTATAGATTTTATAGTCTGAACATTTTAATCTTTACCTATAAATTGTTATTACAAATTTAAATTTATATATAATGTATTAATGTTGAATAGTAATTAATACATAATGTTATACATGTTATAGACTAATATCTTTTATCTTTATTTTTTAAATTGTTATTACAAATTTAAATTTATATATAATGTATTAATGTTGAATAGTAATTAATACATAATGTTATACATGTTATAGACTAATATCTTTTATCTTTATTTTTTAAATGGTTATTAAAAATTTAAATATATATATATATAATGTATTAATGTTGAATAATAATTAACACATAATGTTATTCATTTTATAGTCTAATATCTTTAATCTTTATTTTTAAAATTGTTATTAAAAATTTTAATAAATATTATGTTGAATTGTAATTAATATAAAGTGTTTATATAAATATATTATAATGTTATATTTCTTCCCTATTATTTCTATTTTGTAAAAGTTGAATAATTTTTTGTCTTTGTCTCCTTCCCATCATTAAATCTCTGTTTCTTAAATTTAAATCATTGTTTTCTGCAACACCCAGTGGAGCTTGGTATATGCCAAAATCAGTTATATTTTCTCCATCCACAAATTCAGGAAGATTGTACGTTATACATAGATTGTGAAGAACAACACAAGCATTAATTATTTGTGATACTTTCTCTGGTTTGTAATGCAGAGTTCGATCTTTTAGAAGACATCTATGAATTGAGTATAAAAAATTAATAAATGTACTATCCTCATTGTATAATACATGGTCTAAATACAATTTACCTAAAACGTCCCTTTAGAACTCCATTGCAACGTTCAATGATACTTCTAGTGGACATTTGTTGTTTATTAAAATATTCCTCGGCTTCAGTAGTTGGATTTGCAATGGGAGTTAGCATCCATGGACGTAATGGGTAGCCTGAATCCCCTAGTTAATAGTATTTTAATAGATAAAGTTTGAACTATATTTATAATTTATTTACCTAACAAGTAAATATTATTAAGACCATTTGTATATAGATCTTGAAGTAATGGTAAGACACTAGAATTATTCCAAACATGAGAATCATGTGTGCTTCCGGGAAACAATGCATTAACATTTAGTATTTTCAAATCTGAATCACAAATCTACAACATTATGTAAATACAATTTAAATTTCAGAAAATATTAACCTATAACTCAAACATATTCAACGTTATAAATTAAATGTGATATTTACTAGTTGGACATTTATAGAATGGTAGCATTTACGATTTACATAAATGTACTCAGGGTGTTGGTTTTCTATTAAATTTAAATTTGAAGATGGTGGTACTAATGCAACATGAGTGCAGTCAATGCAACCAATAACTCCTGGAAATCTTGTTTTCGTATAAAATCTAAAAATATCAATATTATAATAAAAAAACGAAGACAAGAAAGAAAGATTATTTTTACTTTTTTCGAACTTGGTCAAGTTCGTATATATTTGATGGAAACTTAACCCATAAGTTGAAAATATCAGGATGATTAAGAGCATTTACAACTTCATTTATGCATCGAGATACAGAAGATTGCGATAGAGCAGTAAATCGACTATGACCCATTGGTGTTTGGTAAGAACCAGTGCCAAAAAAGTGTAATGCAACGAGTACCTACAAGATGGTAAATACAAATATCAGCTTTGAAACGTACTTTGTAATTTGTCAACTATGTTATAAATACTTTGAATATTCATACTTTTGTTTTTAAATCAATTGCCGATGAACGATTAGCGTCTTCAATTAGTGGTCTTAACATTTCTATTAACTGATTTGCAAGATATTTTGATAATCTAAAACTTTTAACAAATAATCTGTCTGACAACATAAATGGATCCATAGGTTTTTCTTTCATCATCCTGACATGTTGTATCGCGTTTACTTGATCTTCAATATTATTAATTAAAAATAAATTTGCGTATAAATTGTCCATTTTAGGTGATCTTATTTTAGGTACCTACTAATTAATATTCATATTTCATACTTCATTATTATCAGTTGATAACAAATAACAATATAAAATAATCTAGTCGAATATTAATTACCTTCGACAAAATCTTGTCACTAATTTAATCGCAGTAGACAAATAGTCGAATCGTTTTTAATCGATAAAATTTTATCATTTTCCAAGAATATCAAAAACTGTTTTTCCTGCGACAAATGCGTTAGTCACTTTCGATAAATTATGTCACGTTTTCTAGAATCGCCCCCCTGAACACTAAACAATTATGTAGTACATAATATTACTATATTACTGAATGTACCTATTAATATGCAAAGAACTTGACCATTATTACTGTATCATGACATAATTGATTTGACTGATATCGTCGTATACAAAAAGGGGATATTCACTATATATTTTATAAACCTAATCGACTGATTGTGGGACTTTGGTTAGAAGGATTTCGATTTCGAATACCGATCATTCAGATTCATCGACAAGTCAACTTGCTATATTATGTTTTATTCGAAATAATTTTCAACATTTGGTTTTTTCGCTTAAATGTCATTATGATCGTAAAAACGTTATTTTTCATACGAAACATTATAATATCATTATTATATCAAACAGTTTTTGGAATGTTAAAAATCGTTTCTATTAAAACCCTATGTGTTTTAAATACGAGAGTGCTCGAGATCAAAGATCAGTGCGATAACTAAAGTATGAATAGGTAATATATATTATTATATTATTTCATAAAAGTAAAATGGAAAAAAAAATGAAGTCACTGCGGTCGATCGCTTCACTATAGGACGAGGGCCACAGCTACGTTTTGTCTGTATTGATATTGGCTATATTTATTGTATAACATAACTAAACAAATAGGTATGGCTATAGTTATGATGCTATAAAAATATTATTTGTAACAAATATAATTTTACGGAATAGTATACGGCAGATGGGCCTTATAAAGTACAATAATATTAGTAATTGATAAACGCGTATGACGAGAATCGAGAGAATGCTGACCGGTGTCTGTACTATAAATGATGTTAGACATAAAATATATCATTGCAAGGAGGTTAAACATCACATTAAAAATAAGTACATCAAATGTTTTCTCCGCGTGGGTAGGTACCTACTGCTTCTCCATATAAAAATGGTTTAACTGCTTGGATTTCTATAGACGTTTACATTTCTTTCGGAAAATAAATTGTTGAGGAAACTTTTAAAAGTGTCGGCTGGCGTTACCGACTAAAGACTATATTATAATAACTTCGAACTCGTCATAATAATATAATAATTATAGTGAGTAACGGGAAATAAAATAAATAACACGCCTTATTAGTAGTTATTGGTAGTGGTATACCAACTTATATACAAAGAACCTTCAATACAAAAAATTCAATTTAACAAAATGTTCTATTTGACTAAATGTTTTTGAGAACTATAAGCGAATAAATGTTAACAAATTTCTCAATAGTACAATACACAGAGGAAAAATACGATTACGAACTTAATACTATTATACATTATAATATTATAATAGATAGTGATTTCGACCTACTGTCATTAATTGTCAATATAGACTTTGACTGCGTTGATATCTCAGGTTATTATTGTATTGTGTGCAGCAGTATTCTATTCAGGATCCATTCATTATATTATTAAACAATCATTTCATCGGGAACAGTCGTTATATTGGAGAAAAAAATGATGCCCCTATCATCGTCATCATCGGGTTCGGAAAATCTCGTTTCCTGTACAGAAGCGCAATGAGAGGCCCGAGTTTTTCGGGCAGTAAAAAAGAAAAAAAGTTCACAAAAGTGGTAATTATTTCGGTAGAGAGTTGAATATAACTGACTTCGTGACGAGTCAGCCGATGGGATCGTGTCGATATTCACATAAATGATAAATCTGAAGAAGGGGCACCCATCGCGTGGGGTCAATTTTTAATGAAAAATCGAGTCGAGTAAAAAATTATAGTCTCGGAATCTCGGAAGTTTTCCGACTGAAATTTATTCAACGTCTAAAATCACGTCTCAAGTCGTCCGTGGTTCAAGTTTTATACCAACATCGTTCGATATCGTATTTTATTTGAAACTATAAACATATATTAATCTGATCATATTATAATATTATTTTAACTTCCACAACACTAAGCATAATATATACTTACCTAAATATAATAACAATAATGGTATTATATCGAGTGATAAATCATTCGACGGCAACGAGTGCAATATTATTTAGTTCATAATGAAGAAAATATGATCATGATCTTATTATTATTATTATTATAGTCTACCATATCGCGTCATAACGGCGGCGGACCGTTAGGGTGTACATTAATATTATAATAGTATGTGTATTTCCCACGTATTGACGTAGTAATAATTATAAGATATTATTTGTAAGCTCCTTTCTAAGTATATAATATTGTGCACAATTTTAAGCTCTGATACCAATGGAAAACGCACTGGGGTGTACTGGTATATGAAACGCATCTCTCTATAGCATTAAGGAACTTAAGAACTCATGCCATCAAGTACCTCAAAATATGTGGGTATGCATTTATGTCTTGAAATGTATTAATTACATGTGAAATATTATGTATCTATAGATTTATTTTAAATAATGTTCTTTATTTATATTTTATATACCTACATAATATTGAACTAATTCGACCTATTCTTTCTGGCGGAAAAAACTTGTGTCGACAGTGTTCAATTTACAAAAAAAAAAAATACTAACTAAATATTTTTTTTTAGAGGATCTTGGAAGTATATTTAAATTAAATAATAATTATCAATGATTGGTTATTTACATTCATTTTATATTTTTGTTTTACAAAATTTTTTTTTAGTTTCTGAACGGAAGGAAAAAATGTATATTGGTTTTACGATGATGTGTGTTTTTTTTTCTGTCAGCAACATTTCGATTAGTAAGCATGCTTCGATTTTTGAGATCAGCATCTTTTCTGATAGAAAAGTGAACCTAGTTGGTACTTTGGGCAGGTCAAAATTGAAAATCCTAAGTATTCGAGAAAAACGTCGAGAAAAACTACCGATAAATTACGAAAAACCACTAAAAATGGGATTTTAATTTCTAACAATTTGTTAATCACCATAGCGACATAGCAACGAATAACAAATAATAATATTATAAGGACTAAGCTAACCACTCAGAATCGTTTTCCGTATACAAAGGTTTGTCATTGTATTCAAATTCAACACATTCATTACAACTACTGTCCAGCAGAGCGGTACCCACTTGTCCACCTTTTAGATTCTGAGAGAAACGATGAATGTATTGATTTTACAATGATATGTGATTTTTGTTTTTTGTTTTAATTTTTTTTTGTGTCTATCTTCACCTTATAGGACAGTAAAAGTGCTTGGATTTTCTTAAACAGCATCTTTTCAGATAGGAAAGTGAATTAAGTTGGTACTTTGGGCGGTCAAAAGTAAAATTTTTCCAGTAGTTTTCAAACGCACTGCGAAAAACAAAATAAAAATTAAATAAAAACGGGAAATCTGTTTTCGAGAAAATCCATTTTGGTTTTTTGTGTAACTCTAAAACAAATGACCGTAGACACATGACATTTTTAAGGACTGTTTGTATTAGTATTTTCTATACACAATGCCATTTTTTTTTAAATATTTTGACTTATTTTGAGCTGTTTAGGGACATTTTCAGTTTCCAATTTTTTTAATCTATAAATATTAATAAAATTTTATTTGTTGGTTAAAAAAGCTTAAAAATTTAATAGAGGGCTCCTAGTATATTGTTTCAAATGCAGATGAAAAATATAATAAATCCTTAGTCACAGTTTTTTTTTTATAAGCATTTAAAGTTCAAAAATTGACAAAATATGGAAAAATCAGGAAAGTTAACAAATTATTTTGAGTTAATAATTTGTAAAATTTAAAAATCTAAGATTTAAAAATGTAATACAAGATTCCTTATAAAAATACCTACCTTTATTAAAAAAAAATGTTTACAAAATTTATCAAATTAAAATTGAATAATTATTTTGTAGTGAAAAATTTATAAAATGTTCAACTTTTATATCTAAGGATTGAAAATTTAAAACAAGATTCCACGTAATAGTAGTTAATTCTGTTACCTAAAATCTAAAAACTACATTAGCATAGTTTATTTATTTATTTTTTTTTTTTTATTGATCTTTTAAAGCCCGGCGACTATGGCCATTAGCTGATTGTGGGGTTTTATGATATGTAGATAGTAGGGTTTGTATTGGTAGGGTTTTTACACGTGAGTGTTGTGTTTGGCAGAATTTTTGATTGGGCACCCGTAGGTATCTGCCATGCCCGGGTGGGGGATGGCGGCACTTGTTCTCCTGACACCGTGACTTGCCCGGAGAAAAATGCCGCCCGGTAGTTGAGAATCGAAACCGCGACCGGCAGCTCGGTCACCGCTCGGTGACCTCGTCCCCCAGTTTATTTTGATAGTCATTTTAAGTTCAAATTTGGACGAGATTACATATTAAAAACCTAGAATAACTATTTTAATTATTTTGTTGTGGTTGTATAATATTATTCGTGGGAACTTGAAACTTCTAAAGTACACTTTTATATATCTATGATAGTATCAGGGTTTGTTGTTGATGTATAACGCGTTATAAGTTAACTAATACTAATGGATATTGTGATATGATTAATTTGTAATTTATAATAGGTACCTATTATAGGTCAATTTTTTTTAATACCATAGATAATATAATATAATATGTATATAATATGTCTCATACCTAGACTGACATACCATCTCCGCTCAGAATCGTTTTTCTTATACAATGATATTATATCATTGAATTCAAATTTAATACCATCCATTATACAGTGACCCACTTGTAACCTACTGTACAGCAGAGCACCTTTTTTTCATGGTCGCCCCACAATTATTATGCTATAAATTCATGATAATTATTGTTTATTGATATTTTTTTTTTTAATTCAGCACTT